AATCAGTATTAGGAATCATATTCGTTACCGATATATAATAAAAGTTAAAATGTTAGAGTATTTATAAATAGTTATAGTATATGGTATAATATTAAGTAGAAAAAAATATTAAGGGTCAAAGATATGTCATAATTTGGTAAAATCAATGTGTNTATATATATATATATATATACTCTAACACAAAATGGGAACAAGCCAGCGAGGAGTGCAGTTCTTGCAATGAACCAAGGCGTTCAAGAGGTTAATGATGTCTGTCAAATTATGCAGCACGAATAGTTTAATTACAGTGCGTATAATAATTGTTAAAATATTTCAATTCCAAGAAAAAAGAAACACCCCATTGTAACTGCAAAACACAGTAAGCACTACAAGCTGCTACGGTGAAGGTCATGCTGCCAATGTCTTTTTACATGGGGAATGCAGTTAATTCCGAGAGAGTGACGCAGGCGCCTTCTTGAAATTCTACCTTGACAAATATCGTACAGACTATACTTTATTCTACAAAGTCCTATATATTTATGTATATTTCCAGACCGAATTAATGGTGGCAGCATATGTAAAACAATATATGAAAATTATTTAATAACGTCTCTAAATTTCTCAACATGAATAGCTTAATTACCTCTTTCTACAAAGTCCTGTACGTTTCTACAGGACGTCACCTGACAAATGTTACATACTTCAAGGTTATAGAGAATAAAACAAAGTTATATAGAATAAAATTCTCTGAATAGTTCTGAGAGTTGCTTGTAAAAATTTAAACTTACAAAAAGATTTACAGAAGAATATTTACAAAGGGTTGTAGTCAAATGTACGCCCTGTATGATTTAACCTAATAGGACATAATCACTGTATGCTTTATGAAGAGAAACTAAGCTACAGCAAATTTTGTTTAAATCAGTTAACTCGGTTCTTAGTTAAGGAGAAAACAAGAAATAAAAAAAGAAACTTTTAACACCCTGTATATATTTCTACACTGTATTAAGGGTAAAAATACATATATTTATGTAAAAATTATTTATTCATGTCTATTAAATTTCTCAGCATGAATAGCTTAACTAGCTATTTCTACAAAATCCTGCCTGATTTTATATATTTCTGGGCATATTAAGGGAGGCAGCCGTTCTTATATAGAAGATATTCAGATAAAAATTATTTGATGTTAAATTTCTCTACATGAATACTTAGTTACCTTTTTTACAAAGTCAGTATGTTTTTGAATATGTCCGGGCACTTTTGATAATATCCATCACCCCAATGCAGAATCTACAGGTACTAGGTAATTGCTTTTATATTTATATGTATTTTGTTATTTACAAAAATGAATTTCTTTCAGGTACAAATACCAATAAGGCAGATGTGATGAAGCCACAAGTTTGATTACAATAAAGTGAAAAAAGGGATGAATTGTAGTGACCTGTTAACAGTGTTATAAAGAAAAGCTTAAAGCAGTATAGGTAATTTATTAATTTTTGATCAACTTCACCATTTCTTTTAGAAAATTATGTGGAGTCACCATGATCAATTCATGAATTGTGTAGGTATAATATGGTATGCCACAAAATTATGTGTAACAGAATTTTAGACAATAATATCACTGAGAATTTGGAAAATATTCCTCCTAATCCATACAAAAGTACACATATTTTTATTAAACCACGGAGAGCTGGTATAAAGAAAAGAGAACCCTGTATAGGACACTATTATAAACTAAGTTGAACACTATCTTTTGTTATAATCTTATAATAATTATAGACTGTTACAAATTCGCTTCTTACTACAGGGATCTTTGAAACGGTAAGAGGTACGAAGTAGCTTATGTAAATGGGGGCAAAGTTGCGTAATCAGGGGACCAACATTATGCGTCTAAGAAATCAAGGCTAACATGATTAGTTTTCGAAATATTTGAAAAAAACCGAAATTTTGGAAATCGGTTTTTGTTTCATTTCAGCCTTGTTTGAGGTGATATTGAAAAAAGAAGAACACTTTCTCATGGCCACTTTTTGCCCTCTATCGAATGGCATAATCAATTTTTATATGTAACATTTTGTCTCTGCAGGACCATCATCAACTTCATTTTTTTAAATACGACCCTGGAAATTTTATTACATTTTTTGTAAGCCGTCATAACCCCCAATACTGTACTGCCTCAGCCCAAACCAGATTCAGACGTTTTGTCTCGAAAAATTCATCTTCAGTGTATTCGTTCCAAATTTGCCTAAACATTTGTTTATTTATTTCTTTGTTTATTGAATTATCATACACTATAAGTATCGTTAGACCCTGTGAAATCCATCTAGTTATTTACAAACTATTACCACCACTCATTAAAATAAAACATTATTAGTGTTATTCCCGTGTCCATAGTTATTTCTAGACTTCTAGAATGCTCAAAATTTAAACAAATTCCAATCTATTTTTTTCAGGATATTCATACAAATACATCTGACATGCTCTTTCACAGTTGCGGTTACAGATATAATAAATTCCGATAATGTTACGCTGATCTTCATTTTCAATCTTTGGCAAAATGAAAATGTTTTTGAATATTTACTGAAATTTTTTAAAGAATAATATTCAGTAATAAAATTAATATTGTAATAATGTTTTAATTTTTACGCAACAACTTATTATTGAGTTATGTATAACCAAGTGATAGTAATACAGTGTAAACTCTTTATAACGTCGTTCTTTATAACGAAAAATTTCCTATAACATAGAAATTAGGTCAATTTGGTTGGTTTACGTCAAAACCCATACATTAATACACTCTTTATAGCACAACAGCCATTCTCTATTACGAAGAAATATGTTCATATTTAGACGCCAGCAAATATTTACAGAAGTATTTAATAGTGTAATTGTTTTTATAATCAGCTTACAAAAGATTCCGACTAAATCTTTGAGGTGCTGAAATTTCTAAGAAAGACCCCGAGGTCAAGTGCCTTGCTTTTGTTATTGCTAGCTGCCTCGAACACGTGTGCCATTACTCTTGGATTACATTGTTTCTAGGAAATTTTGCACTCAGTTACTAAACGCACTAGGCACCTATTGTGTATTATCAGTCGAAAACCTACTTTAAAATTGTCAAGATGGCCAGTAAAAGAAAAGCGACATCCCGAGACATGCAAAAAATACTTAAGAAAATACAAAACAAATATTGGCATAGCAAAAAACGTCAGGCAAAGTTAACAGAATATGTGTTTGGAATAATTTAATTACCTATTGAAAGTACATAATAAAATTGGAAATTATTGTAATTGGTGAAATTTGGTTATTTTTTCTTCTTCCCTCCATATAACAAAAACTCTTTATAAAGAAAAAAAAAATCCCCGGTCCCTTAAGATTCATTAAAAATAGTTTACACTGTAGTTAATAATAATAAATGTTTTATTGTAACGTGTGGTGGTAATAGTTTAAATAACTAGATGGATTTCACAGGGTGTAACGACTTACAATGTACGATAATTCAATAAACAAAGATATCTAAATAAAAAATTTAGATAAAAGAACGAATACACTGAAGATGAATTTTTTGAGACAAAACATTTGAATCTGGTTCAGGCTGAAGCAGTACAGTATTGGGGGTCATGTAGGCTTGCAAAAAATGTAATAAAATTTCCAAGGTCATATTTAAAAAAATGAAGTTGATGATGGTCCTGGAGAGACGAAATGTTACATACAAAAATTGATTATGCCATTCGATAGAGGGCAAAAAGTGGCCTTGAGAAAGTGTTCTTCTTTTTTCAATATCACCTCAAACAAGGCTGATATGAAACAATAATGGATTTTCAAATTTTCGTTTTTTTTCAAATATTTCGAAAACTAATCATGTTAGCCTTGATTTTTTAGAGGCATAATATTAGTCCCCTGATTACAGGCAACTTTGCCCCCATTTAAGCTACTTCGTACCTCTTACCGTTTCCGAGATCCTGGTAGTGAGAAGCAAATTTGTAACAGCCTGTATATTATATACATGGGGTCCCTTAAGCACATAATCAAAATGGTACTGCGACATTCTTTGGCTCAAAAGAAGATGATCTGACTTAACTTCTATTAAGAAAAAATTTCTCGCTCCTATGCTATTGAAAAAAATTATGTTTTTTGTAAGATGGATTTTAATGAAACGTGCCATGGACTTGTTCCTAAGACTCATGTTTTGATGAAGCAACCACATCCATCCGCCTTGGGCAAGTGGTAAATTCTTGTGTCTTGGTACAAGAATTACCAGAACTTTTTATTTGGTCGCTGGAATCAATCCATTTTTAATGATGCATCAGTCCTTTTTCGAGATATTGGTGCTATCACATAAGGACTGATGCATCAGTAAAAAAAATGAATTGATTCCAGCGACCAAATAAAAAGTTCTAATAATTCTTGTACCAAGACACACAAGAATTTACCACTTGCCGAAGGGGGATGGACGCGGTTGCTTCATCAAAACACGAGTCTTACTTTGGAACAAGTCCACGGCAAGTTTCATTAAAATCCATCGTAACATTTTTCAGATATTGCAAAAAACATCATTTTCTTCAAGAACTTTTAACAATCAATAGCACAGGAGCGAGACATTTTTTCCTAAGGGAAGTTAGGTCAGATAGTATAATTTTGAACCAAAGAATGTAGCAGTACCTTTTTGATCATGTGCTTATGGGACACCCTGTATAATAATAATTATCATTAATTTCCTCAGACATATGCGGTTCTAGTACTTGGAGACATGTATAGTTGCAATATTCTGTAACTAGCGAACTAACAGATTTCAACCTTACAAGTTTTTATAATTTTACTTAGGTATTGTATTTTAACAGGCAGTCATCTTCAAATATGTAGTATACATATGCTTGATGATACATAGTGCATATTAAAACAATTTTTTACATATCTTGGAGGATATGTATCATAATATTAGACCTCAAATATTTATATAGTAGTTAATGTGTTCTAAAGTGCACAAGGAACTGTTTCTGATATATAAATCTCAATACAATAATACTCACTAATAAATGTATAAAAACATTAGCAAATGGTGTATTAGTAAGTAATTCTCCTCTATATAGTTCATGTAATATAGTAATAGCTGCTAATCTTTGTTCAACTTCTGGTAACAAATTAGTTTGAAGAAGCATTATAATACATGTTCCTACTAAAAAAAAAAACAATAAATAAATATAAATACCTATGCATCAATATTAATTAAGTACCTACCTTTAAAATATTCCGAATTTTCAAATTTTCTACGGACTTCATTAGAAAGACTCTCAAATGAGTAATTTTTTACACTCTGAACATCTAAAATTCTAAAAAAAAAAATAAAAAATTCTAAACAATATGTGCTAGTTAACTCTTACCCCAATAATGTATCACACTGATCTATTGTTAATGCCATATTTTAAAAGTAAATACAACATTACATATGCACGTTTATAAATCGTAGGTACTGCTAATTCCACTAAATTTATATAAACATCTTTTAAGATGCCATCAGTGTCACCAACTCCTAGATAAGAGAAATATATATAGAATTATAGAAACGGCACTCTCTCTGTTTCTGTCAAATGCATTTCACAGTCAGTGTAGACTACACTCGCTTGTGGCGCTGAGAGTACAAATCCACGAATTTTAAATCGCACGGCCACCGACGCGCCCTGGTACGTAAGAAACACTGACATATTACGAGACTTACAATACACAAACGCTACACAGACAATAAGACAAAACGCGGAGAAACGATTTGACGTAGCCGCTAGACATGACAATCCCCTCCTCAGGCAAGCCGTTGACTACGTACCCGACGTGACCGACAAACACAAAAGACCTAGACACCAACTTTTTGACCCTGGGTGACCACCCCAATG